CCTCCGCTTGTTTTTAATTTAAAGCGGAGTATCCTTGCAATATGAAGAAATGAAGAACTAGCTCATATATGTTGCGTGACGATAGCAAGGTCTCGTGATTCAAAACGTGCCATAGCGATTACAGAAAAATAATTCGCTGAAGAAAATAATAGCTAGAGTAAGGGTACTCGTCAGCTTTCGCTCGATAAAGTTGCGATTGCGAATGATAAGAAGTCTAGCTAAAAAGAAAAATATATCTAATGAGCGTTAATGAAAACAGTTATACCCTATATATTATACGCACTTATCGCATTTCTTTTTTATTTCCGTGCTATCTTGGTGACATGAACTACAGCAAGCAATCGATTATGGTGATATCAATGCTGGGACTGTCGTTCGGTCTGCGCACGAATAAATAAATGGCTATATACATCCGTATAGAAGAGACAGAAAAAATTACGTATAATATTTACGTGTGATCGCAATAAAGATAAATTTTAAAAAATGCGAAAATAAAATCCTCGAGAGAAAAGAAAAGCAAGGGATAAGAGAACAATTGCGCGACAAGATAACATTTTTCAGGAGCAATGACCTGAACTTTAAGATTACTTTGAATCTTTAAAAGCGGTGTTCTCGAACGTAAACCAAGCAAAGAGAACTTGGTGTTTATTGATCCCAAGAGGCCGGTTGACCAACGGTCAATGAGATACGGTCTCTCCCCCATTCTCTTGCCACCCTCTACAACAGCCTTCTTAACGGAAGTAGGAATTGCCCCTCTCTTCCTACCTCCCACTTACTACTCCGTGATTCATGCGTTCTTAGCTGTTCTGACTAAGAAAATCGAATTGGTCGCTATTATGAAATCATCGAAGAATCAAGGAAAATTCATAATTTGGGAAAATAAAATCGTTATTTCTATTTTATCAACAGTCTTCTATATAATTATTAAGAAAGTATTGAAAATTATGATGTGTGGAACGTAATCTGTATGAATACAGAGCTTTCAGTGTACTTGAAAAAAAATTCCATTATTTATACAGTTGCAGGGATTGTGTACATACATTACGTTTCAAGGATTGTGCATATGGCGTACACGACGCAATAGTAACTTCTTGTTGGTAATATGTAATTAGGTCACCAATAGCGTGGCAAGCAACGCGAGGAACAAACACGCAATTTATGTTAAGAAAAGAGAACGAAGGTGAACGAACATATAATAAAAATCTAATTAATGACACGAATCTTTATCGCGCGGTACTGTATAATATAACATGTTAGGGTGTCAGAAATGATGGAAATGGAAAACAGGCCGATATTATTTGGCGCAACGTATTAAGAAGTGGCTCTGAAGAAACCTCTCACGGTTTTTGTACCTATATCGCTTTTAGTAACTGAGGAGCAGACTTTTAAAATACGTTTTGTTCAAAATTTCATTTTTTTTTTAGTTAGAAATGGCGTAGTGTTCAGTAAAAAAATTCATGTTATATAAGCTACTCTGAGATGTTCAGAAAATATTTTGTTATCATCAAATTATGTACTGAAAAATACAGACATTTCGAAGTGCATTATATTTTTTAACTAGAGACAAACACGTGTATTTGTTTAACATTTTCAGCAATTGTTTACAGCAATTTTGTTCAATACATCACATCCTACTAATTGACATTTTCTAAACTACATAGTTTTCTTTTGTGCGTATAGTTTCTGTTTTTCTCATTTTCTAAAAATTATAAATTTTGGATAAAATGCATTTTGAAAATGTGTTCCTCAATTTCTTTTAGTAATTATTTATATAAAATTTAATTTATTGAATCAAATTTCAAACTATATACTGATAATAATAGATTAATTAGTTTTAAATAATATTTGACAAACTTTAAGACTTAATGACATATGTCTGGCATTAAAAATTTAAAGTAAAGTAAAAAAATAAAAAATAATTAAACAACACACACAACACACACACACACACACAACACACACACACAGGGCTACGAGTCAACATTCGTTAATATATAAAGGTGTTAGTAAATATAAAATGTCATTAGTTAAAAATATATATAAAGTTTAATAAAATTTGAAAACAGACGTTTCGACCTTTATTAGGTCATTTTCAATGTTTAAAAAAATAAAACAGAAAAATTTCTTTCTGATTCTGAACTTTCTTTCTGATAAGAAAAAGTTAACTTTTAGTCTTTAAATTAGATTAAAAGTTGGCAGAAGTAGAAGTGCGATATACTGGCTACGGTCCTTTGTACCATATAAATGCTTCAAAGTATTTTTTGATTAGTCAATTAGTGAAAGTGAAGTTTCTTTCTTCAAGTTAGTCAATCAAATGCTTCGAAGCAAAGAGACCACATCTAATGATAATATATATAGAATTACATGTATCTAGGTTTTTTTGTATATCATTATGTAGCGAGAAGGAAAAAAAATGTCATGAAAAAGATATTCTAAAAGAATCATTCTGTTTAATAAAAATTTATTTTATAAATCGCGGGAGTGAAAAATAATGACAGAAATGGTTTTGAAATTAAGGTAAAAAGAGAGAAAGAAAGAAAATGAAGGCAAATGTAGAAAAGAATAAGAGGAAGGAAAAGAGGAAAAAAGAAAAAGGAGGGAATCTCTGAGAAGAAATACACGTGACTATTCTGTGCAAACTCACATCACCATTCGATCACGATCACCAAGTGACGCTTTAAAGTCACTTTTATAATATATTCCTCTTACTATATTTATAAATTATCATCGGTCCAATTTTGTATTATAATTATTAAAATGAAATATTTACGTATACTTTGTTTTTTGTAAATTACTTAAAAATTGAGAAAATTAATATGGAAAAATAATATTTTATCTTAAATAATGATCTTGAATATTTAAATTGCCTTTTCCTTCTTTGTTTTGTTCTCATTAATTAAAGTGGATTACATATTTGAGAATACTGATCTGATTAATTAAGGCCAATCAGTATGCAAAGCCCAGTTGTTTAATGCAAGAGTCATGCATTACAATAAGCTTCAGTCACTTTGTCGAATTAAAGAATAATCCTGCATATGCATGGCTGCCGATCAAAGTAACTGGATCGTAATTGCATCAAGGTGCATCGTAATACATAACGAGTTAAATTGGTCACACCTCTGAACTAAAGGAAGGGTGTGAACCATAATGCCCAATGACGGCAATGACGTAGACAAAATAAAATTGCTTCTCATCCATTGCATCAATAAATCAGACAAGCAATCAGATGATGAGAAACGTTTTTAATTGAGTTTTTTTTTCTATAAAATTATATTACTATGTAGAAATTATACGATTGTAAATAAATAGTACTGTAAAATCTTGAGACAAGATGAAATAAGATATTAAAATTTGTATTGTTTCGATACTAAGAAGAGAAGGAGAAAGGAGCGCTCCCTGTTCTCGCGCAAATATAATTTTGCGTTGCGTGTGGCCTGCTTTAGGAAGCTGATCTGGGCCAGATACACACGACGCGACGTCCCCTTCGTCGTCGTCATCATCATCATTAGTATTACGATTAAGCATTCTTACAAATCGTTATTATATCGCGTCTCCTTAAAAGTTACTTAAAAATTTTATATTCCGACACATTTGTAGCAACAATACTAAACTCTATTGCAATATTAGTAGTTACGTTTCTTACTCTTTTATAGTTCTTTATGGCTTTTGTACAAAATGCGTTCGTGCGTGTTTGTACACGCTTATAAATATGTAAGTGTGTCCCAACGCTTATTTCGAAATGTTAATCATAAATAACTTTACGATAACGATCGTAACAATATGTAATAGCACTGTAAAAAAATTGTTTTAACAATGTTAGCTATTTTTAATGTATTTTTGCTTGTTGAACAGGAATCTGTTTTTCAAATGTGGCTGTCACATCACAATGATGAGAAAAATAGCGTCAAAGAATAAAAAACAACAATTTTGAAAGTTATTATTAAATCGTAGCACTGATAGAAAATTTTTTTTCGAAATGTCGTTAATAAATAAAGTATTAACTCACGAAAATATTAATTTTTAATTTTAAAATGCATTTTGTTTCGTTTTAGGATGATTTTTTTATTTTTGCGATACAGGAATTTGAAATTTAAAAAATTAATTCATATTTAGTATGTTTAAAAAACAAAAGGAACTGATAAAGGTTTTTTTAGACAATAATCCAAAAATATAAAAATTTGTAGACTAATATAATTGATTATTTGTATTAAGTATGATCCGAATAAGAATTAAGAACACAGGAAAGTTCAATGTTTTTCCTTCAATCTTTGTTATATTCCCCAATACTCCCTTTACGTGTATTATAGAAAAAAAAAAATATGATATATCTTTGTTTTTATTCCGTATTTTATTTTTTTCTAATATATAAGTAGTATTATTATTATAGATTAATTTTTACTAATATTGTATTACTAACGTTGATAATATTTTTTTCATAATTTCATAAAAGATAAAACAATAAAGATTTAAAAACTACAAAAGTTAAACATATTTTTATATTTGTCATTAAAATGTATCATTTTTCATGCGTTGTGAATAATGGTCGAAACAAAAAAGATGCTAGCATGTTTACATTTATAGCACGATGAAGCCGATCGTGCTTTGAAGACGTGTTTACAACGTCAGTCAAGTTCACGAGTATCGAGGTTGTTACTTGTTACCAACTAGAGCTTTAATCGAGCGTGATTAACACATACTTTCGCTATCTATGAAATCGCGTTCTTATCGAGATAACATAAACTATCAATCGTATTTATTTTATTTAAAAAATTTACGCTCATATATTATTTATTTAAGCAAAGTGTAAAATTAATAATTTTAAATAAACACAAATATGTTGTAATCAAAATATTATAAATAAATCCTAGATTACGTTGATTCAATTTTATCTTTAAAATACGATATATATGTACATATGATTTGGACAAATAATTTTTCTTCAATCTATTGTATCTTCTTTGCAATAATCGAACTCTTGTGATGCATCGAAGATTTCTTACCTTGAAAGTTTTATAGCTGGACACTACGTAAGAGGCACCATCCTCGAGTTCATCAAGATTAATCTTCCGATCACCGTCCATCGAGAAAATGTGGCGCGCTCCTCTTGGCAGGTCCATCCGAAGGGATAATCTATCCAATAGAGCCTCCAAAGAACCAATGTCACGGCCAGGTTTGAATCTAAAAATATTCAATATTTGCTAAAGTAATATTGTATAAAGCAAATTCGAACAATTGTATTCTTTTAAAATCTTTTGATTTTGAATGAATTTTCGCTTATTATTAAAACTATTGATTATTACTGTAAATAAAAGAGTAATAAGAATGAAAACTTTAATCAACGCTACAAAGATAATGTATAAAACATAAGGTATGTTTTAAACTGTAATTCAGACCATAATTTGACAATTAAACACGTTTGAACAAAATTTATTTATATCAAAATGCAGTTCACTTGTCTAAATTAATGTTATCTTTTTAAGAACAGAACCCTTTCATGGCAATGCAATTATGTTAATATTTTTCGGTTATAACTCACGACAGCATTTTTATAACTTTTTAATTAAAATAGTTAAGATGCTAGTTAAATAAATAAATGTATTGATTAGAAAAGACATCTATCTCCATCTATACGCATTTTTCAAAATTTTTTCATACATCTTTCGCCACTTTTCCAAAAAATTTTAAAAAAGAAATTTAGTTTCTCAAAATAATTCTTAATATCTTCTGTTTAATTATAGACAATGTTATTAAAATGGCATAATTGTATGTATATGCGATTGATGCAATATAATATTATTGAATAACATTTTAAAAATATGTATGCTTTAGAGATTTATTGAAAATGTTTAAAAATATTTTAATAATATATGTTTCATTGTGTTTTACACAAGCATTATTGTTTACAAGTTATTAAATTAATGTGTGTGTGTGTGTGTGGTGTGTGTGGTGTGTGTGTGTGTGTGTGTGTGTGTGTGTG